GCCTGTGAGCCTGGGCCCCTGGTCACAGGACCCAAGGTAGACCCGGCCTCCAGTTAGCACAGGGAGCAGCCCACCCTGTCTCTGCCTGTCGAGGCCCCTTCGCCCTCTCCCTCACCGAGTGTCAGGCAGAGGAGGAGGAGTTGGGGACTCTGAGCAGGTACGGGTGGGGGTGGGGGTCTCAGTCCCGTCCCGCCATCTGCCAGCCCCAAGCCCTCGGCCACTGCACCGACCGTGGGCAGTGGAGTCCTGGGCTGGGCTGGAGGGAAGGAGCGTCCAGGGCAGGGGCCAGCAGACCGTCCACCCTGCAGCCCTGGGCGGGTCCACATGGCCAGGCCTCGGGGCCCACCGTGGGCCTGGTTCAGGCTGGCGGCCTCTCTGCAGAACGGGGTCATGTCGGGGCTGATGCAGATGCTGCTGCTGAAGGTGTCGGCCCACATCACGGAGCAGCTGGGCATGGCGCCCGGCGGCGAGTTCCGCGAGGCCTTCAAGGAGGTGGGCCTGGCTCGGCGGGGGGGCTCGGGACGGGGCCCCCCGGGGGCTGCGGCGTCCCCAGCCAACCCCAGCCTCTGCCCAGGCCAGCAAGGTGCCCTTCTGCAAGTTCCACCTGGGAGACCGGCCCATCCCCGTCACCTTCAAGAGGGCCATCGCCGCGCTGTCCTTCTGGCAGAAGGTCAAGCTGGCCTGGGGCCTGTGCTTCCTGTCGGACCCCATCAGGTAGGGCCCCCCGGCCTCCTGCCCAGCCCGGCAGGGATGGTGGCCCGTATCCCTGGGCGACCCCCAAAATGACAAGGGGTCTGCACGGCCCCTCGTCCTGTGGCTGAGCCTCAGACAGCCTCCCAGCCCTTCCTCGGCCATGATCCCCAGCAAAGGGGCCCGGCCCCACCCTGGCTGGGCAGCCCAGCCTCCTGCTGGCCCCGGGCGGGCTGGCAGCTCCCCTCTCCCCCAGCAAGGACGACGTGGAGCGGTGCAAGCAGAAGGACCTGCTGGAGCAGATGATGGCGGAGATGATCGGCGAGTTCCCCGACCTGCACCGCACCATCGTCTCCGAGCGTGACGTGTACCTGACCTACATGCTGCGGCAGGCC